AGTTGATACCCCTAGTTGACTACCCCTAGTTGACTACCCCTAGTTGACTACCCCTAGTTGACTACCCCTAGTTGACTACCCCTAGTTGACTACCCCTAGTTGACTACCCCTAGTTGACTACCCCTAGTTGACTACCCCTAGTTGACTACCCCTAGTTGACTACCCCTAGTTGACTACCCCTAGTTGACTACCCCTAGTTGACTACCCCTAGTTGACTACCCCTAGTTGACTACCCCTAGTTGACTACCCCTAGTTGACTACCCCTAGTTGACTACCCCTAGTTGACTACCCCTAGTTGACTACCCCTAGTTGACTACCCCTAGTTGACTACCCCTAGTTGACTACCCCTAGTTGACTACCCCTAGTTGACTACCCCTAGTTGACTACCCCTAGTTGACTACCCCTAGTTGACTACCCCTAGTTGACTACCCCTAGTTGACTACCCCTAGTTGACTACCCCTAGTTGACTACCCCTAGTTGACTACCCCTAGTTGACTACCCCTAGTTGACTACCCCTAGTTGACTACCCCTAGTTGACTACCCCTAGTTGACTACCCCTAGTTGACTACCCCTAGTTGACTACCCCTAGTTGACTACCCCTAGTTGACTACCCCTAGTTGACTACCCCTAGTTGACTACCCCTAGTTGACTACCCCTAGTTGACTACCCCTAGTTGACTACCCCTAGTTGACTACCCCTAGTTGACTACCCCTAGTTGACTACCCCTAGTTGACTACCCCTAGTTGACTACCCCTAGTTGACTACCCCTAGTTGACTACCCCTAGTTGACTACCCCTAGTTGACTACAATATTTATATATTATAATATATTATTATATTAATAATTAACTACTAATTCAGTATAATAGGGGTAGAGTTCAGTAGGGGTAATGTTCTCAACTTAAGAAATGACCAGATTTTGTTTAGGGTTGTGTTAAAATAGTTATATGTTCTTCAGTTACAAAACATCTGGTTTTAGGGTTAAGTTTGAGGGAAGGTTGTTATTTACAGTTAGGTTTGACTTAAGGGTAGACATGGTTTAGTCAATTTTCCTTCAATGCTTTAAGAAATGTTTTGTTGCTTGAGAAGTTGTTTAGAATTGGTTAAGAAACCATTGCGGTTAGTGTTCATTGTAAGACAGTGGTATATTTTGGTCTACAAAAAAAAGTAGATGAAGAGGATTCAAAATGCTGGTTAAGATAATGCAAGAAAGAACTGAACATTGAACAATCTTGGTGAAAGATCCATGATTGGTGTGTGGATGAGAATAAATGATAATTCAAGTGACATAGTATCCAAGTAGATGACATCGATCCAAGATAAGGCTAGTGTTAGAAGAGATAGGAAAAAAAAGATGAGGATTGTTAAACTGATTAGAGTTTTCAAAGATTGCACTAAGGAAATCCAGATGACTAAGATGTAGATAAAATGAAACCATGACGCATATGGAAGATCCAAGATGATCTGACATTAAAATGATCAGAATAAAACATTTTGGTTGGGTTAGCAGATTCTATTTATAAAAAGTATTAACATGATCCAAACACATGCCAAGCTTCTTTCTGTTGTTTAGGGGTGGGGGTTGGTTAGGGCTGTTTCATCCGCATTAAATTTAGTTACTGCTTATGTTGGGCCATATTTGCTGCTATATTTTTCTGCTTGACAGTTCAGAAAGAGGAACCCAAGGATGTTAGACCTTTTTAGGCCATGCACTTCAGCCTTTCTGGGCTTCAGGTTCACACACCAGTCTTGAGTCCATCACAATCCATATGGGACAAGACACAGAGGTAAGCAAAGAGTTGGTTAATTTTTAGGTTAAGATTAAATTGCCATTTCATTTTCCCCTTTCTATAGATCCAAAATACACCTTGTAGTTAGGTGTAGGGGTGGGTGAGGGCTATTACAGTCTAGGAGTAGGAGAGTATTCAAAATTGAGAAATCAAGATGATCCAAGAATTGTTTGACTTTGGTTAAGTTTGTTCTTCAGTTACAAAACGCAAGTTTGTTTGACTAAATGTCTAACCTAATTGTAAATAAATACCCTCCCTCAATTTTCCTTAAATGCTTTAATGAATTTGCTGCTTTGATTACTAACAGTTCAGTTAATGAGTGGGTTAGAATCCCTTGCGGTTAGGGTTAGGTGTGGGCCAGTGCTATATTCCAGTCTAAAAACAACTAGACGAAGAGGATTCAAATCCTATTCCTAATTGCATTCAAATAATGAAGGATAGTATCCAAGTAGATGACATTGATCCAAAATAACAGGCTAGTGTTTTAAAAGATCAAATGATTGTGAAACCTAAGAAAGTTTTTCAAAGAATACTAAAGAAATCCAGGAAACAAGGATGTAGATACAGGAAACAATGATAAAGGTGAAAGAAAGATCAAATAGTTGATCTGAGATAAAAGAGATTCAAGTAAATACCAAACCGCTTTTGGTTAGAGCTATCTTTCGATAGAAAAGTAGATGAACATCTAAATGCATGCCAAGCCTCTTTTGGTCGTTTAGGGGTGGGGGTTGGTTAGGGCTGTTTCAATTTATAAAAAGTAGATTTAGTTACTGCTGATGTAGACACCCACTGCTTTCTTCTTTTACGATTCAGGACAAGTAACCAAAGGATTCTAGAACAGTTTAGGCCATGCACTCCCAGCCTTTCTGAGCTTCAGGTTCATGCACCAGTCCGAGTCCCTCCCCACAATCCATATGGGACAGGACACAGGTGGGCAAAGAGTTAGGGTCAATGTTTAGGCTAATCCAGATAAAACTGCCATCTCGATCTTATGGAAAGGAGACAAATGAACTTAATCTAAACTCATTTAAACTAGCCATTAAGCGTCATTTATATATATTAAGGGTGGAGCCGAACCCAAATGCGGTATTCGGAAAGGCACGAATAGCGTGTTTTTACGAATACTTATTTCGAACAAATACTAGAAAAAAATATGTTTTCGGGAGCAAGAAAAACATCAAAAAGCAGCGTTTCCTCATGAGACCAGTGCATGCGTGAGAGTGAGTGAGTGAGTGAGTGAGGCTCAGTCACAAGTCGGAGGGTGGGGCGGAGGTAAAAGGTGTCTGGCACAAGCTTCTCCACAGGAACCGAGAAGGCTCAGCTGAGTGAAAACACTTTACTGCATCACTATTTTTGTTAAATAGATTTTTGTACCTTAATTGGGTTCCAGATGCAGTTTATAAACTTGTAACAGTTGAAGCGGAGTTTGATCGGGATATTCCATTACGCTGCATTTTTGACATCTGCAATCGGGTGCTCCGTTTACGCAACATTAGCTCTGTTAGCATGGTAATTTAGACAATAGACTGATGACAGAGTAGAGTTAACGTTCGTTTATAAAGGTTAAAATGATGCTTGTGCATTTGTGTCGAATAGTATGCACTTATGGGAGTTATATGGTACGTCTAAATTACTGTCTTTTGCAGGCAGCAAGATATATGCTATAGGCTAGTTAACCTTAGCATAGCTTCCCGTCACTTTTTATTAACTTGAAACTAATAAAATTTATTAACTTGATACATTTGGGCACCCAGAAAGTCAAAAAGAGTGAGACTGCTGCTAAGCCATTTCTTGGTCCTCCACCAGTCAAAAAAAAAATTCATGTTCTGTGTGGAAGCATTTTACAGTCAGTGGAGCTGCAGATAAAACAAAGTGACACTGTAACGTTATAATGTGTGCAAAAGTGAAATCAGCAGGGTCAGAGATATCAAACATCTGTCAACATCTTCTTTTATTCGTAATCATTCATTTCTTTTTGGCTTCGTCCCTTTATCAATCTGGGGTTGCCACAGTAAATATATTTCTGCTATTGTAATACAAATGCACTATTGATACATTATCATAGTTTAATTGTCATGTTCAAAGATCTTAAATACCTTTATTCCCCTGCAAACATTTTTAATTGTTGCATTTTTCATTTTCCCTCCAAATAAAATTAAGCCAGAGGCACGCAACATACGACCTCTAAAAAAGGTGCTGTAACATGTACCTATATGTAGCACCCCAATATGATAGAGCGGCATAGCAGTGTTTAGACACTTGGTTGCTTTTGTTTTTATTAACTTGAAAGTGTTTCAGCTATTGAGTTTAATTGAACAAAGGGAGTGGTTTACATTGCATTAAAGGCAACTACTGATGAATGTTTCAAAGAGCTGTTGCAGCATGAGTGGAAAATAAAACCGTATTAGTGCTGCCTGGCCAAGTTTGATGCACACCTAAATGAATAGAGCAAGCTGTGATTGGTCGGCTTTGTAGAGCTGACAATTGTGCCCTAACCTAGTCCTCATCTTCAGTCAGTAATTTGGGGGCTATTTCTGACAGCAACCTGTGTAAGGTCAGATTAAGTATCTGTAAAACTCAATTTCTTCATCTTAAATGTTGCCAAACTTTGACAAGCTATCAATAACTGATGCAGAACAGCTTATTCATGCTTTCATGACCTCTCGGTTAGACTACTGTAATGAGTTACTAGGCGGTTGCCCTGCTGGCCTCACTAAAAAAACTGCAGCTAGTTCAAAATGCAGCTGCTAGAGTGCTTTCTAGAACTAAGAAATCACATTACTCCTGTTCTTTCATCAGTGCATTGACTCCCTATTAAATATTTACAATGTTATTGTTTACCTACAAAGCCCTCAATTCCTTAACTGCCCAGTATTTGAGGGAGCTCCTGGTGTATTAGAGCATGAGATTGATTCCTTCAAGACCCTATAGTGACCCACAAGTCTATGTATTGATCCTGAAGGGTCAGTCTGTACATCAGCCGGTGACCTCTCCCATCTGCAGCTTCTCCACAATGAATGTCCACCATTCTCCAGCCTCCGGTGCCCAGACTGCAGCTCTGTACAGGAAGTTTGGCCAGAGGAGAAATGGTCATGCCCAAATGAACCTGGT